ATCTATGCAAGTAATTTATAATTTTTTCACTTCACAAGCCAACCGACCGAACGCGTCACTTCAAATGGTTGGCGGCGAGCGTACATTTATGAGTGAACCGGCAGATAGATTTATATATTGGAACTGAGATGAGATGCAACAAAATGCATAAATTGTGTACACTTTTCATTCAAATGACATGTGCGTACGTAGCAACACAATAAACAACAATATTGCACTGTGGCCCACTTGGCGTCCTGTCCACAACTACAGGGAGAGAGAGAGAGAAAAGGAGGGAACGCAATGAGGATATGAAATTGCTTGGTGGCATCAGGAGGAGTGCAACAATTTGTTTTATATCAAAGGCATAATCATGTCAACTAAATTGGGTGCATATAAGCATAAAAGATTTTTAACACGTTATTTCATATGAAATAGTGGGCCTCACTTCATTCCCCTCCCTCTCTCACTCCCATCCTGTGTGTATGGATTACCAAAAAACAAATAATGTCGCATGCCCATGCTATGACATAGTCATACCTTATGTCAGTCAGTCGGAATGGCATCAAACGAATCTAAACACACGCACAGCAGCAATCAGTCCGTTGGCGGGCAATTAGTATTTGATTAATTTCTAAATGGGAATACATCATCTTTTGAATGCAGACAGACAGTTGACACATGTTCTACAACCACCAGTATCAGCATCATCATCAACATCGTTGTCATTAGCCGAAAGTTGGGGTAATGGTGTAGCATCATTAACAGAAATTTGTTCATCATTTGCGTAGTTGTAGGGAGGATCAGTAGTGACACAAGATAGTGTAGCAGTTGAAAATTTGAACACCATAATTTTTTATTTCGATTATTTTTTATCAAAAAAGCCAGTATTATGGTATTATAAGTAAGGGCCTATTCCTAGAAGACCTATGACGTAGAAACAAATATACCACACTTTGACTGCATTATTTTTACCTTGGCCGATTGACCCGGAGACCTTTGTACGTATTCCATAGAAGTCAAAAACATCAATCTATGGATTCAAGTCCTAAATAACAATTTACGACCGCTCTTGCTAGTGTTGAGCAATGTCGTTCAGTACAGTGATCGAATGAACTAGGTCATTTTTTAAAAGTGAACTAGGTCGTTCATCTCGTTCAGTTGCCTTATATCGAACAAATTGTTATTCAATTCAATTGTAATTGCATTTAAGCTGTCATCAACCATAAAGAATGATGACCTTTCAGAGTCATTCGAAGAACTTGACTATCTATTGTCTCCACTTTTTATGGTTGGTGGCAAAACTCCCTTATATTCTGCTGCAGTTGTTGACCCGCTGCCACTTTTCGGTGGTTTCCAGCTCCCTTCTACCGGTTGTCTTTGGGAGTCAATTGAAGCAAATGGCTGCTTTCCTTTTAAATGTCGCTTCAAATTATTTACTGAGCCTCTAGCTATGCTAAAAACACTACTACAGTATTGACATTTGGTCCTTTAAGCAGCGCATTCCATGAAATGGGACTAATTTTCCGAGTGTCTTTTTTCAATTTATCAGATTTTAAATGAAATTGTTCTAGTTAGTTGGTTAAAGTCAGGCACCACTGAACCTAAATTTCAATGCCGTTCAGTGATCGACGCCGTTTGATAAAACAAAATCATTCAATGAACGACAATAATAAACATTAAACTATGTCGTTCACTCGTTCCGTGGATTGACTCCTTCAATTGAATTAGGTCGTTCACTCGTTCAGTGGACTGACCCGTTCTAGTCCTAGCGTATTCTACCGAAGACATATTTAATGTATAGAAGGCTAGAGAAAGATGTTATTTCAATAGAGAACATTATGTTAATATAGAAGACACCAAAGAGACCACTTGCCAAAAAACACCTGTTAAACATATATATCTTCTATGTAAGGAAAATCATAACATATCCAAAAACAAACGTTGATCTGCGAATATATTTTTTCAACCATTAGGAACAAGACCCCACAAAATTTCCATAAGAAAGAATGAAAATGTGTTTATCATTTTCTTAAGAGGTGTGACGATTCTTTTAATTCTATCTGCAGGACAAGGTACACGTTTTGTTAACACAAACATTTCACTCGGAACCAGTAAAGATCATTTGTGACAGGTGGTGCATTCCACTGTTTCTTTATTTCAGGCACTCTTACCGGCCGAATTAGTGTTACAAAATTCGCATATGTATTTTTCAAATTATTTCGATACAAATGCTAAATATTAGGTTGGGGAAAAGGAAATCCATTAGGCCGGTCGTCGAAAATGTCAACAAAATCGGAGAAATTATCCAAGTTGACCGGCATGTTAGCAGTTGTAAAAATCGACCATAAAACAGTTTTAAACCATTTACACAAAGCTGGATTCAAAAAAAAAGCTCGATGTTTTGGTGAAATTAACAGAAAAATAGGATGGATCGAACTTCCATATGCGAACCCTTGGCCAAACGGAATGAGATAGACCCATTTCTTAAACAGATGGTAACTGGAAATGAGAAAATGGATCACATACGATAACCCTGTACGAAAACGATCGTGGTCAAAGATCGGCGAAGCACCTCAAACGGTGGCCAAACCAGGACTAACGGCCAGGGAGGTTCTGGTATGCATTTGGTGGGACTGGAAGGGAATTATTTATTATGAGTTGCTTCCATATGGCCAAACGCTAAATTGTGATCTCTACTGTCACCAACTGGACCGTTTGAAGATAACAATTGACCAGAAACGCCCAGAATTGTGAAAATTGACTACAAGAGTTTTTTGCAAATAGAAAGCAGGACTTCTATGAGAGGGGACTTTGTTATGTCTTCTATGAGAGAAGACATAACAAGTAAAAATGTCCTCAAATTCGGCCGAGACGAAATTTTTATACCCTTTACCGCATATACCAAAAGTACCGCAAATCGCTTTCCAATTCAGTCTGCCCAAATATTAGGGTATCCTGAATATGATTCGGTTTTATAAGAGAAACAATGTGTTAAAGTTAAGTGCGCTGGGTTAAGAAGCTACCATTTCCTTGACAAATTGAGCTTCGTGTAAAATCTCTAAAGACTATCAGAAAGTTGATATGGGAAGGTCTAGAAAAACCAGTGGAAAAAATTGCTCGATTTGAGATTCTGAAGATGCTGATAAATATCCCTCTGACAGTGTACCAAAATGAATATAGGTCAGAATAGTGAGAGTGGATTCAGATCTGACATTTATTGGATGTAAACACATCGGTAGTCTCTCGCAGATAGGACAATAAGAGTTCCGTCTTATTAAATAGGCATGAGGGAACGCTAAATGTGAGTCAGGCACAGATCAAGGATGAGAAATCTGTAACTCGTGTTAGAAAAGTTCTTCTGAGCAGAAGAACCCGTATAAACCCCCAATCTAATCACTTGATTATAGCCAATTCAAACTTTAAAGATGGACTATTTTATACTGTAAGATGGGATATATACATCGAGACAGCGAAGTGTCCCTGGAAGGAATTAAAACTAATATTATAGAGAAATAGATCGTATCATACGAAAAAGAGGGAAGTTTTCTGGCTTGAAGTAAAGTGTAAGGCCAAATCCAGGGCGATCTATGCCGTATATAAAAATTGATAGTCAAACTGATCTAAATCAAAAAGTATTATAGAATGTTTGACTATAGAAGACAGGATGAAGGTTATCTTCCTGTCAAACAAACCAGAAATCGACCTATGGGTCGTCAAAGGCGAGTCAGAATCATTGAAAGTTGTTCGCGGAAAAATCCCTCCGAATAAAATGGTATCCTGTCACCTTAGCGAATGTTTGTCATGAGGGGAACTCAATCTACAGATGTTCTAAGGTAAATATTCAGTATATATAATACTGACAATAGACGAAAATCGTCACGATTTTTTTTATCTATTTTTTGTATTCGAGGACGGGAGTTTTTGTTCGTGGAAGTAGCCCTTTGAAGTAAATGGCTGCAAAAGACCAAAAGGTTTTCTTATAGGAGGCTAAAAGGTCTTCTATAAAAAGGCCAAAAGATCTTATAGAAGACGATTGGTCCGCCCTTGTAGTACGTTGATCTATGTATCGAAGAATCGTTTTTTTTTTTGTAGAAGTTTGTGAACGAGGCCAGTATAGAAAATAGTTTTGAAATGACCACTAATTTTGTATCTATTAAAAGCAACCAGAAAGAAATCAGAAATCGTGTGGGACTTCGATCATTATAGTTTTTGTTCGTGGAAGAAGCCTTTTAATGGTTGTAGAACGTCAAAGGATATTCTTATATATAGGGTTACGTTTGTGCGACTAAGGTCGCAATTTGAAACATTTTTGATGCCCTGTAACTATGTTTGCAACTTTTTAAGCTTTGTGCGACTTTTCTTCTTTGTTATTTTTAAAGTTGAATTTTCCTTTTTATGAGTTAATTCAAACTAATTTGTATTTTTCTACGTCGTTTTTGATTTCCAAGGGTATCTGACATATTATCGTACCAGTTATTTTTCTGTGCAACCTTTTTTCAAGTGAACGACTTTTTGTGCAACTTTTTTAAAATTGCCAGCGGTAACACCGCTTATAGAAGGCCAAAGGGTCTTCAAGGAAATCAAAACATATTATTTTAGAAAACATATTATTTATAAACCCAAAGAAAAATAGAAGACCAACGGGTATTCTTATAGATGACCATAAGGCCTTCATATAGAAGACTAAAACACCATCTAATAAAACGCCAAAAAGTCTGACCGAAAGACCGAAAGGCCTTCTAATAAATGACTAAAAGATCGTCTTATAGAACACCAAAAAGGTCTTCATATAGAAGTCCAAACGGTCTTCTTAAAGAAGGCCAAAAGGTCTTCCTATATAAGATCAAAAGGACCAAAAGCTCTTCATATAATGGCCAAAGGATCTTTGTATAGGAGGCCAAATGGTCTTATTGAAGAGGACCATTATTTCTTCTGAAGGATGACCATCATGCCATTAGACCCCTTTTTGAAGTCCATGAATTAAAGGCAAAAAATACAAATTATAATTGAAAGACACTTACGTTTTCCTTTTCTTCGTAGCAAGAACTTACCTGAAAGAAGAAAAAAAACACAAAAAATATATATTAATCAATAACATATTTGTAAATTATTTGTTTATATGAATTCATAATAAAAAACTACAAATAAATAAATAATAAGACAGAAAATTATTTGCCAAATTTTATTTATTAGCTATGAAACAATACAACAATGTGTGCACGTAGGCTGGCGATGGACACTGGGTGAGTTTAAATGATTTACTAGAAATGAAAAAATAAAATTTTCGGAACACCATCCTGAGAGCTGTTTTTGGCATGGAGGAACCCCTGAACATATCACTATCACTGTATTGCAGTAGCATTTCTATTACGCATCGTGTTATTCTTTTTAAAGATGATTTTTTCTAGGCCAATTAAACCAATGTGCAATAAGAAATTATCTATTGATGATCGTTAATTTGTTACGATTTACGTGGAACTCATAAAGTTGAATAGAATGGCATTCGAAATAGACAAAAAAAGGGGCCATGTGTTTGAATTTTCAATAAGACGGTCAAATTTTGTTGTGAACGAAAATAAAAAGAAAACAAAAACAACAGTCCAAAGAATCAGATCAAAATCGATATTTTGTTTATTTCCCTCACATAATTTCAAATGAAGGCTACAATACCAGATATGTGAGGGGAAGTCGTAAATAAGTTGCCACCATCGCCGCCACCGACATTGCCAGACGTTGTTACCACGAAACGAGAAAAAAATGAGAATAAGGTGATGGGGTTTACCATGGAAAAGTGATGGTGAAATCGTAGAGATAATAACACTATTGGACATTGGGTACCTGTGGCAGACACATTTCTGCAACATTGCATTGCAAACCTTCGAAAAAATATTATTTGCAATTCTTCTGCCCATCATCAAATGCATGAATGAAAATTTAGAATAGTTTTCGTTTTCGCTTCAATAACGCCATATGTGCAACATATGCAAAAGATCTGCTGTAAGCTATAATTAAAAATTTGTATCTAATAATAAAAAATTAGCACATTAAAACTTAGTCACCCCAATTTGTTTGAGATGCGACTGTGCGGTGGGGTGGTGTGTGTTGCAATTCAATTGATTGCAATTTGGCCACAATTAATTTATTTATTTTTCGTTTTTGTTGTTGTTGTATACACTTGACCATTTATTCTTACTTCAAATAGCCACCACACTACATCAAGTGTCGATTGACTATGATTAACAAGTGAAACCAATGTCGAGTTGAAGGTTTATTTGAAAATAAAACTATACAGATCAAGCTGCTTAAGGGCGATTTTCATGTGAATTGTTTTAAAAGAGCAATAGAAATATATCAAAAAAAATACACAATAAATTTATAGTTCATACAAAATCTAAAATCTTTAATAGTATTTCCATAGAAAAATCTATAAAAATTTTTTCTATGGAAACCCCATTGAAGCAATGGAAAAATAATGGAAGTTGAAAATAAGTAGCAATGGTATCTGTCTTGGAAGACCATTTCCTGGCATCCAAATAGTCCAACCGTTCACGAAACAAATGCAATTCAATAAGACTACCGTTTAATTTTAGAATACTTGCTTAGAATTTTCTTGGAATAGCTTAGAACGGCTTACTCACATGAATATTATAGACGGTATCTTAAGCAGAAGATTAGCTCTGTACACAGAACAAAATTAATAAATATTTTCTAATTATTGTCATTGTTTATTTTTCCATATACACGTACGTCGCTTAGAATACAAGTAAAAATTCTTATAATCATGAGAAAGATACCATTATTTCTACAAAATGCAAACAATTCATATATATTAAAACTATTTCCTTACTTCTTTACCACTACCTGCACTCATATTTTCTCTCTCTTTTGACAAATACAAATGTATTCTTCTTAAGACAAAAGCCACCACCATTCACTGTTCGGCTGTTTTTTGTTATCGTCATCTGTCTCTCCCCCTGACTTGGTGGTTGATAGTTTTGGAACCGTTTGTTTGCGTATTGTTTCTCTTGTTTACAATCGCGGTCTACACTCACTCGATTGTGGCTAGTTTTGTACACTGCTGTACACTGTTACCGAACTATCAATTGGTGTTTTAAAATTCGCATATGTATTTTCCAAATTATTTTGATTCTAATGCCAAGTAGAATATGTATGGTTAACATTGTATAGGATTGTTATAATGACACAAAAAAAGAACATATAATTAAGAAAAGTCGAGACAAGACAAAATATAAAATCAAAATAGAAAGACCAAAACAACAAGTAGTTTCTGTGCCATAGAAAACAAGCCGCCAATATCAAACACAACTTCAATGTAGTTTTTTCTCACTGTCTCTCTCTCAGGCAAGAAACCAGTGTTTAAATTGTATGAATTGCATACATAAAATGCAGAAAACAGTACATTGGCAACACTTTCGGAACAATATTCATGTAATATACGAATTATTTTACTTTTTTCTGTGTAAGAATCGACAATGAATTCACGCCTATTGCCTATTATGTGTCCATCTTGCTGTGTTTTTTTTTTTTTTTTTTTTGTTCCTCCGAAAAGGGCTTCATCCGACTCCTACTACACCCTGTTCTTTCGAAGACTTTAGTGAGTTTGAGCTAGTCTAAAACAATTACACGGAAAATCCTCCATTTCCATCCTTTGCATCTGTTTATGTCTAGTGTATTTTTGTTGAAGACTAAATCCTAAGCGTGTGCTTTGTCGTAAAACCTCTTTCTACGCGGTAGACTTTGTTATTTCATTTGCTAGCTTCTCGGACAATGACAAAGCTAAATTAAATATCCGATTTAATACCTCTCAATTACGCAATTTAGTACATTTCTTGATTTTTGAAATTAAATAGGATCAGCAATTGTAAGGATCATTGGAATATAATTTTGGGTGATCTTTGCATAGTTAAAAAGATTAAATATTTATGCAAGGGGATTCAGGTAAGGTCTTGTTAGACATGTTTCACATTTCGCCACCCAAGTCTGGAGATTGGAGGGTTTTAATACAGCTCTAGCATAAATATATGCTTTTAAAGGTCCTGCTAGAGGGATTTCCCTATTGTTCCGAATTTTTATTACATTTTAAATAATCCGATTATATATTATGATCTTACAGCTTATCTTCTAAGATGTGATCGCCTTAAAGGTAGTAGAGGTCGCTGTTTTTCGTTTTTGTCTTTACTATGGCCTCCACCATGAGGTGGAGTGTATATTAAATTTCTCATTCCGTTCGCAACGCCTCAAAATATTGATCGGAGACCCCACAAATGTATTCTTGATCAGAATAAAATTCTATGTCGATTTACGAATGTCCGTCCGTTTCCCTGCTGAAATAACTATAGAAATCGCAATATTTAAGATACAGGCATTGCTAGTACTCCTATGATGTTTGATATTGCAAATAGGATATATTGGTCCACGTTTTGTGTATTTGGGGGGATTTTTGACAAGTTTTGGTATTTTGGTTTCTCATTGAAAACACGTACCAAAAAATATTAGTTTGGGGAAACGAAAAAATGTCGATAAAATCGGAGCTAAAAATCTAACATAAAACTATTCTAAATCATTTAAACAAAGCTGGTTTCTAAAAGAAGCTCGATGTTTGGGTGGATAGGTTAGATCGAATTTCCATCTGCAAAGCCTTGGCCAAACGAAATAAGATAGACCCATTTTTGGGGATGGTGACTGGAGATGAGAAATGGATCATATACGATAACCCTATGCGAAAACGATCGTTGTCAAAGAGCGGTGAAGCACCTCAACGGTGGCCAAAGGTTCTGCTATGCATTTGGTGGAACTGAAAGGGGATTATTATGAGTTGCTTCCATATGTCCAAACGCTAAATTTCGATCTCTACTGTCAATAACTGGACCGTTTGATGATAGCAATTGACCAGAAACGGCCAGAATTGACTAACAGGAAAGGTGTCGTGTTTCACCATGTCAACACTAGGCCACACACAACTACATTGACTCGCCAGAAACTTGGGGGAGCTTGATTGGGAATTTTTAATAGGTTATGGTGTACATATAACAGTAGTTTTATATTTTGGGTTCTCATTGTATAGCGCATCTTCATACCTAAAATTATTAATATCACCCATAATACCAGTATTCGGTATTATGGGGTTTTTGGGCACGATTTTGCACCGAATTGGCTGTAATTTGGTATTTTGGGTTCTTTTTCTCACGTATTTTTCAGTATATTCAAGATCCTATCATAACATAGTTTCCTCCTAGGAAACCCCATTAACTTTAGATATTTCGATTGTCATCATCATGGTGGAGGCTGTAAAAAGTTTAGAGGTACGTATATTTATTCTTGCATTTTGGTCCATATTCTCAAGAAATATGGTTATAAGACACCATTTGTATTTATAGAAGAACCATGCGATCCGAAGAAGGTTTTTTTCTTTTTTGAAAATCGAACACTTTTCTTTAGTCATTAGAAGGTCTTCAAAAATATTTCGTTTATAGGATATCTGCTTAAGGTATTCTGTGTATTATGTGCCATCTGGTTTAAATAGAGGGTTTCTTTAGAGATACCGTTCCGAAAGATTTCTATGTACATGTACATGTTTGTACATGTACATGTACATGTTTTTTTTTTTTTTTTGCAAATTTCAATTATTCCGATTGTACTGTATTGTGTTCAAATCGCTATTGGTATTGCGACAACTAAAAAAAAACATCGGCGATCGAAGTGAATTGCCTGCAGTCAGTCAGTCAGCATCATAAAAAAAAGAACCACCTGTCGTCGATAATCAATTACTTTAGCAAGCAAACAACTAATCATTGTGTACCCCTCCTCTTGAACTGCTGATTCTCTTCTACTTTCTAGGGATTTGTTTTTAAAATGTAGGAAAAACATTTGTATTTCAAATGAAAATTCAATTTCTATTTCAAATTAACATTTACACACAACAAATCAATTTGGCAAATATACGAGTATATAGGTTAAATTAATTACTTTTGGGAGATTACGAATGGGAGATTTTTAGTGTGTTTGTGGCAGAAATCGGGATAGGGTAACA